TTCGCCAAGACGAGGGGCAATTTCGTGCTTATATGATGGGACCCTGGAGGAGGGAAAATCTACACTGCCATTTTCCCCGGCTGCCCAAACTCTTCAATTTAACAAAGGCAAAGAGTATTCTCTGCCTAACTATTTTGGCTTACATTTGTAAGTTCAGATGTAAACTCTGAGTATGTAATTACTCAGTGAGTGCATGCTCAGGTGGAACTAATTTTTCTATTCTTGTCATTGATAGGATATGGTTATTCTGGAAAGGTTGTAGAATGCTGGGATTTTCAAACAACATACATATTTGGTGTTAATTTTACAGTTGAGAACATAAAATGTGCATTTGTTATAAAATCAACATAAAATACATAATGGAAATATATACAACCTCAAAGAATAGTACAGGTATTTAAGTTCTGAAAGCGGAAATTACATAATTATAAAATTTCCATTTATGTAGGCCTTGCCAGTTTATCAGATCATCTAATATTGCGGAAAATAAAAATAAAAATGCAAGTCTTCCTATAGACTAATATATAACTGAATAAAAAATGAGAATATGCAATGAAATTGCCAAATAAGCCAGATTGAGTACATGTGAACTCACTCAAATCATGTTTTATGAGTGTTGATTATTGATTTTTAACATGTTTAATAAGGGTAACTTAGTTATTCTACTGAAAAAAAAATACATTGAAAAATAAGTACATTAAAAGCACTATATTATCAGTAGGCATACTGTTAACAGTACAGCATATGAAAGTGTCTAACTATGCAATAAAGATCATATTGCACGGTGTTCAGTTGTACTGTGCATAGCTGGGTCAAAATCTCAGAGCAGTACTAGTACATGTCATTTTGTTGTCTGATATCAAAAGGAACTTAATTTGTGACTGCAGTCATTAATTACCTCCCTTCTTTCCGCCCGTATTCATGTCCTAAACATGAATAAGGCATGACGTTGGCTGATTCTTATGAATCAAATCAGCAATTACTGGTCTTCTTAATAAAGGTTAAAGGACCACTATAGTGCCAGGAAAACACTTGTGGCTCTTGGGATGTAAAGTACTTGTTTTCCTGGCACTATAGTGCCCTGAGGGTGCCCCCACCCTCAGGGTCCCCCTTCTGCCAGGCTGGATGGAGAGGAAGGGGTTAAACTTACCTCTTTCTCCAGCGCCGGGCGGGGAGCTCTCCTCCTCCTCTCCTTCTTTTCGGCTGAATGCGCATGCGAATGCGCATTCACAATGCTTTCCTATGGACGCTGGCGTCTTCTCACTGTGATTTTCACAGTGAGAAACGCGGAAGCCCTCTAGCGGCTGTCAATGAGACAGCCACTAGAGGCTGGATTAACCCTAACATAAACATAGCAGTTTCTCTGAAACTGCTATGTTTATAGAAAAAAAGGGTTAACCCTAGATGGACCAGGCACCCAGACCACCTCATTAAGCTGAAGTGCCTATAGTGGTCCTTTAATCCAATGCTTTAATTTGCTCAAGTCCTAGTAGCAGACACATTTTCCTTCTTTGCTGGTTTCAAAAATACTCATCACGTTACATATCCTTATTCATTAAAGCACGTTGGGTCTTTTGGTACATTTTGACGTATTGGTATTCCTTTTTTGCTACCGCTCTAAACAAATATGCCTTTATTCATTTTGCTTTACTTTTCCTCTTACTGTTCAAGGAATTTACAGTTACTCTTGTAAGAAACTCTTTGGGAGTTTCTCGTAATACCATAATGGAGTTACCATCAATAATGTAATGTTTATTTCCCAGAAAAACAAGCAATATGTTTCACAAAACATTTTTAAAAATGACACACATAATTCTTTTATGTGTACCTTGAGGATCATTTCAACAAATAGCAGTGAATAATTCTTTCTCTCAGACTCCTTTGAGTAATGAAGGAAATATTGTTATGAACAGAATTCTATTCTGCACAAAGGATATAATGGTGCATACGTAAACTAAAAGCACCATGCAAGAGAATCCACTAATATGCATTCAAGAGAGAAACATGCAACTCTCAAGAGTAATAATTACAATACTGCAAGTACTTTGCATATATTAAAGTTGTATGTTTTTAATATTTAAATGCAATTCACTAAAATATATATGATTAAACTATAAAAAAGCAAAAGAGACGAGAAAGCACTTGGAAAAGGTAACAATGCAGAATTGGACTATGGACCCATCTATTGAAATAAATGCCTCATTCTAATAAATGTTCGTTGATATCATTGGTAAGCCATAGTTTTTAAAAACATATTCTTGACTTAATATTCACACTGCCTTTAACAAAAATCACAATGACCTTTAGATTGAAATCTCGCCATGCTTCATCTTTACACCAAAACCTCTCTCTTTTTCACTGGGTTTTTCCTTACTGTTATGTATAAGGTAGCATGCCATGTCAAAGGCAAATCAGTTGAGATAGTTGGTCTATGGCATTTTAACCGTGCTGGGTGTCGTTAGACAGAAATATTTAAAGCAGTAGGTGCAACATGTTTCATACAAAAAGTGCATGAAAAACTGTCACAAAACTTGGACACGTTTCAAACCAAAATAGATACATGTTCTGTTTTGAATAATTCATTGTAAAAGGTCTTTAAAAAGTCAAGTGTTATAGAAATATAGTTAAAAAGTAGAATAAAAATTTGCTGGATGAAGCAAGTCTTATTGAATAATAAGTCCATATCCAGTCTGGTTTAGGTAAATTAAAAGTATTACAGTTTGTATGAATAAATGCATGAAATGATTTAAAATGTTAAGCATGAACTAAAACCACATAATGCGTGGTATTGAAGGCAGCAAGATTAACATGCAACATGCTGTTCAAATGTATGCATTTAGGGTTGCTTCTATGTTAAATAGCTAGGTCACCATGCTGCTTTGTAAGGGCTCATAAGAATACCCCTCTCTGTCTCATTAAAGATTTTGTATTTTATCTGAAAGCAGCAAGTTGAGTTTTTGGTGTAGGACTCACATAAAATGTCTGCCTTGATACAGCAAGTGAACTTACACTTTAATAGCCATTGGCATGGTACTAAAATCTTCTCTTATGTAAATGTCGGTTTGGAATAGTATGCAGGTCAGGTTTTTGATTGATATTTAAGTATTGGTACTTAACGAACTACAGATGTTGCAAACACAAATTATATAACCATCCCAAAGTGGACTTGAAAACAAGTGTTCTTTCTAATGCTTTTGGTGTGTGGTACAACATCCACTTATTTAAGAAGAATATTGCATCCTGCTGTTTGCATTGTGCAAACCAAAACATTTGCTTTACTTTCTATTGTGTCCTTAAAAAAATAATTGTAGCACTGCTAGTGCACTCAACATCTGTTTGCATTGCCCTCATTTTTTCATATTGTCTGTTTGCATTGAGCATGCTGACACTTATGCTAGACACAAAACAAAATTCAATAAAAAGAATCCATGTCAGCCCTACAGGAGCTCGGCTTAAATGATATTGCAAGGTTGAGAAATCCCTTATAAGTGCTACCTTAGTAATGCTACCTTAGAGAGCTCTGTTTGGTTGAATTACAAGTCAACCAATCAGAGCATTCTGCCTGATATTGCTTAGCATGGGAAAAACCAGTAGCATTGCAAGTGAAGGCATATGGAAGGTCCTCCGTTCCTAAAGCCTCCTTTGCACTAATAAAGGGGGGGGGGGGATCAAATTGACACTCATTGGCTTCATTTTTTAAAACTATTTATTGTGGTGGTTGACTAGGAAGCAATGTGCTGCAGAGGTTTCCAGTTCAACCTAATCAGACTTTATTACTAAATATCTGCCAAACCGAGCAAACACATAGCCGAATGTTGGAAGTTCTGAATAAAATTTCCAAAGCACTGTGCACAGTTCTAATCTTTTTATTGCAAGTTTATATTCCTATTTTATTTAGGATAACAAACATCTAATTGTATTATCTTACACAATTAGCTTATTTTATCCAAATCTAATTGTTCTACTAAATGCATGAGAAAAAAATATGACATGTCTCTTTGGCAGTTGTATACATATTTTGCATTTGTGCATTCGTATGTATGTTATTTTTTACTGTTGCATTCTTAAGTAACTAAACTGTAATTACATATTCTTCTTTTCCTGCCTTCATAATGGACTGAAGTGCTTGTAATTGTGGCTCTTGGGATGTAAAGTACTACACTATTTTTAAGTGCAGTGTTAAATTGTCATGGCAACACGTATCTAAGTATTCAGCAATAGCAATACAATTGAACTTTTTTGAATTTGATAAATTTCTAATACATATTTCCATTTCTTGTCATTTACTATTGGTATCAAACTGATTTAATTAATTGGTAGTAAAAATATATTGCACGATTTATTATTTTTCTGTATTTATTTATTTTTGGCATTTGCATTTTTATGAATTCAATTATGGAATTGGAATGGAATTGGGTCCACACTTCACAATGTTCTTCCAGCCACCGAACACTCATCTAGAAAAATATAAGTTGTAGCGGACCCCAGGTAACCCAACTGGTTACCTTCTCTAATTCCTCCTCTCAGACTGGAAAAGGTAAACACTCCAGCATCAATTCCCCCAATAAGTAGACAAAACATAGTTCTTGGAATCAACTGACCTTATTCAGGCCACGTAAGACTTTTATGCACTGACCCATGCCGTGTGTGGCCTGAATAAAATCAGTTGACTCCCAGAACTATGTTTCATCTAGTTATTGGGGGAATGGATGCTGGAGTGTTTAATGGTTAGAGTCTGCCTGAGAGGAGGAATTAAAACTAAAGTTAAAATTAAAGGGGTTTTCCATCCCAAAATTAAAGGGGTTTTCCATCCTAGGATCCTCTGTGTCAGAGAGATAATTGCGTGAGAAAACTGTGATTCCATTATCTCTCAGATACAGAAAAATATATACAAAATATACAATACCTCAAAGGTACCCCCAATATCACCAGGAACACGCACAAAAGTTATATCCCCAGATAGCTCTGGTCTGAGTGCCCAACTTGGCCAAGTATCACTC